AGTCCCAGTGGGAATCTAGAGCACCAGTCGGAGTCTGGAACCCCCAAAGGAATATGGAGTCTGGAGTCCCAGTCAGAGTCTGGAGTACCAGTTGGAGTCTGGAGTCCCAGTCGGCATCTGTAGCCCCAGTCAGAGTCTAGAGTCCCAGTCGGAATCTAGAGTCCCAGTGGGAATCTAGAGCACCAGTCGGAGTCTGGAACCCCCAACGGAATCTGGAGTCTGGAGTACCAGTTGGAGTCTGGAGCCCTAGTCGGAGTCTGGAACCCCAGTCGGAGCCCGGAGTCCCAGTTGGAATCTGGAGCCCCAGTCGGAGTCTAGAGCCCCAGTTGGAGTCTGGAACCCCCGTCGGAATCTGGAGTCCCAGTCGGAGTCTAGAGTCCCATTCGGAGTCTGGAGTCCCAGTCGGAGTCTGGAGTCCCAGTCGGAGTCTAGAGTCCCATTCGGAGTCTGGAGTCCCAGTCAGAGTTGGAGCAGCGTGCGGCGTCAGTTGGAGATGTCAGCATTGTTGTTGCGGTTGTCGTACTTGTGGTGGATGAAGAGCAGGACCACGCCCAGCAGGAAGCAGACGGAGCCCACGGTGATGTAGGCTAGGCCCAAGAACGGGTTCTTTCCCCCCATCCAGGAGATGGTGCTCAGGATCATCCGCTTCCTGCCGTCAAAGCTCCTGACCGGATAATCTGGATCGGACTTGTTAATGCATTAAGCCGTTAAACTTTGACTTCAATATTTTAATTGTTTTGATTTGAGTTCTATGTGACAGCTGAAACACTCTAAATGAGCTGAATGCTAAACGCAAATAACAGCTAAAAGCAGCACAATGCAACAGAAAAGTGACGAAACATTATCAAAACGTAAAAACAGTAAATAAGTTTAATAAGTTCAATGCTAACATCTAAAAGGTGGCAAAACTTCAGCTAAAAGTAGCAGCACTAGGAGTAGAATTACTCAGCCTCCCTTTAGGAGGTGAATGCTGAGTCATGAGAAGGAGGAGGTGAATGTTGAGTCATGATGAGAAGGTGAATGCTGAGTCATAATGAGGAGGAGGTGAATACTGAGTCATGATGAGGTGAAGGTGAATGCTGAGTCATGATTTGGAGAAGATGAATGCTGAGTCATGAAGAGGAGGATACTGTAGACCACTTCCAGCGTGTAGTTTCCTCGAGGCAGGGTGGGAACCATGCTGTTCCTCCTCTGGATGATCCGGTACAGCTTGCGGAACGTGGGCAGAGCGGCGGTTCTCATCCACACGATGAAGTCCTCATTGATGAAGCCGTTGTTTTCTACATCAAAGTCCAGCTCGTACACGGGTCGACGCCAGTTGATAGGCTTCACCGTTCCTGAAGAGCAAGACCAGAGCAGTCCAGATAAATGGCCCATCAACTCTATTTACTTTATTTCTATAGATCAACTCTGTTCAGTTTATTTCTATAGCTCCAGCAGAAGTCGACTCAGGGCACTGAACAAAAACATTCACAGACGTTAAACAAGAAACTTTAACAGGACGAAACCTCCACCAGAACCAGGCTCAGGACGAGCAGCCATCTGCTTCAACCAGCTGGGTTTGAGAGGACAGGAAGTAGAAACAGACAAACATAGAATGACAAGTCCAGGTGTACTTTCTATGGTCCAAGTAATTGTTTTTGTTTTTAACTGACTGATTTTTTATTCTTGTTTGTTTTTTAACTTCTGTACTGTGCAGCACTTTGTGCACCTTTTGGCTGCTGGAAAGGGCTCTATAAATAAAGTTTGATTGATTTGATTGAAGTATACTTTCCATAGTCCAAGTGTACTTTCCATAGTCCAAGTGTACTTTCTATATAGTCCAGGTGTACTTTCTATGGTCCATGTGTACTTTCTATAATCCAGGTGTACTTTCTATAGTCCAGGTGAACTTTCTATAATCCAGGTGTACTTTCTATGGTCCAGGTGTACTTTCCATAGTCCAATTGTACTTTCTATAGTCCAGGTGTACTTTCCCTAGTCCAAGTGTACTTTATAGTCCAGGTGTACCTTCTATAGTCCAAGTGTACTTTCCATAGTCCAAGTGTACTTTCTGTAGTCCAAGTGTACTTTCCATAGTCCAGGTGTACTTTCTGTAGCCCAGGTGTACTTTCTATGGCCCAGGTGTACTTTCTATGGTCCAGGTGTACTTTCTGTAGTCCAGGTGTAATTTCTATGGTCCAGGTGTACTTTCTATGGTCCAGGTGTACTTTCTATAGTCCAAGTGTACTTTCCATAGTCCAGGTGTACTTTCTGTAGCCCAGGTGTACTTTCTATGGTCCAGGTGTACTTTCTATGGTCCAGGTGTACTTTCTGTAGTCCAGGTGTAATTTCTATGGTCCAAGTGTACTTTCTGTAGTCCAAGTGTACTTTCCGTAGTCCAGGTGTACTTTACGTAGCCCAGGTGTACTTTCTATGGTCCAGGTGTACTTTCTATGGTCCAGGTGTACTTTCTTTAGTCCAAGTGTACTTTCCATAGTCCAGGTGTACTTTCTGGAGCCCAGATGTACTTTCTATGGTCCAGGTGTACTTTCTATGGTCCAAGTGTACTTTCTATGGTCCAGGTGTACTTTCTATGGTCCAGGTGTACTTTCTAAAGTCCAAGTCTGCTTTCTATAGTCCAGGAGTACTTTATATGGTCCAGGTGTACTTTCTATAGTCCAGGTGTACTTTCTATGGTCCAGGTGTACTTTCTATGGTCCAGGTGTACTTTCTATAGTCCAGGTGTAATTTCTATGGTCCAGGTGTAATTTCTATGGTCCAGGTGTACTTTCTATGGTCCAGGTGTACTTTCTATAGTCCAAGTGTACTTTTCATAGTCCAAGTGTACTTTCCATAGTCCAAGTGTACTTTCCATAGTCCAGGTGTACTTTCTATAGTCCAGGTGTACTTTCTATAATCCAGATGTACTTTCTATGGTCCAGGTGTACTTTCTATAATCCAGATGTACTTTCTATGGTCCAGGTGTACTTTCTATATAGTCCAGGTGTACTTTCTATATAGTCCAGGTGTACTTTCTATATAGTCCAGGTGTACTTTCTATAGTCCAGGTGTACTTTCTATAGTCCAGGTGTACTTTCTATGGTTCAGATGTACTTTCTATGGTCCAGGTGTACTTTCTATATAGTCCAGGTGTACTTTCTATGGTTCAGGTGTAATTTTTATGGTCCAGGTGTACTTTCTATAGTGCAGGTGTACTTTCTATAGTCCAGGTGTACTTTCTATGGTTCAGGTGTACTTTCTATGGTCCAGGTGTACTTTCTATAGTCCAGGTGTACTTTCTATGGTTCAGGTGTACTTTCTATGGTCCAGGTGTACTTTCTATAGGAGGAAAAACAAAAACATGTTAAGATAGAAATAATTATAAACATAAACAGAAAGAGCAGAGCAGGTAAAGACAGCAGCAGAGAGAGGAAATGAGGTCAGTTTGTTCTCCAGCAGTCCTCACCTCCGTCTACAGGTGTGCAGTGGAGAGCATCCTGTGCTCCAGCATCAACGTGTGGCATGGAGGCTGCACAGCTGCAGAAAGAAAAGCTTTGCAGAGAGTGGTGAAGGCTGCACAGAAGATGTTGGAGTCAGTCTCCCCACCATCACAGACATCTACACCTCCAGATGCAGGAAGAGGGCCACCTGCATCATGAAGGACCACACTCACCCAGCATTATTGTTGGATGTAACTGGGACCCTGTGTACATAATTTAATTTCACCTCATGTATCACATGTGGTGTGAACGACAATAAAAAGTCTCTGAATCTGAATCTAAAACCTCCCACAGACTCCTGTCAGACGCGTGGACTCGACGTGCACTGTCTGCAGAAGGTTGAGACTTCTTACTCGAGTGCCACCCTGAGCACCTGCAGATCAGCTCTGCAGGCAAGGGGCGTTTACCTTCTGGACAAATTGAGGATGCTGATTGGTCATTTGCTGACACGCCTACTGGACTGATTGACAGGTCGCCAAAAAAAAAAAAAAGCCTGAGCTTGCAGCCCCAGCCGCAGCGGTGTTCTGTGTTTATATGTTGTTAGTAAAAAGTTCTAAAAAAAAAAAAAAACAGGCCTGCAGCCCACACATCAGACCAGCCCACCAGGAAATCTCCAGACCCTCCCGCAGCCACGCTGGACCTGAGTTTAATTCGCTCGTGACAAATTCCTCCATTTCTTACATTTCAGTCCTGGCATCAACGGAGGAGGAAGAGATCACTGCCTCTTGCCAAAAAAACTAAAGAAAAGGCCAGATCAGGATGAAGAAGGGGAATTTAATACACTGGTGTCACATACAAAACAGTCCGTCGCTGGGCAGTTTATTGTGTGACACAGAGTGCACATACATGGTCGTAAAAACTGAGCTTTTGTACGGACATGCCCTGCAGGCGTCCACTTCGAGTCTAATCTGGTACGCGCAGACCTCCCTGGACTGAGGTCTGCCCGACTATGTGGGAGCCTTAAGCCTATAGCAGCAGAACTAAGGGACAGCTCAGGAAACCCAAGCCGACCCTAACTATAGGATTTATCAAGAAGGAAAGTCTTGATCCCAGTCTTCAAACTGGACAATGTGTCAGTCTCACGGACAGAAACTGGAAGTTGGTTCTACAAGAGAGGAGCCTGAGAACTGGAAGATCTTCCTCCCATTCTGTTTTTGGAAACTGTAGGAACCACAAGTAAATCTGCAGCCTGAGAGTGAAGTGCTCTGTTAGCAAAATATGGAACAATAAGAGCTGTAAGTTCAGTTATTGATCAGTGATCAACTCTAAGGCTCTGTTTAAACCAAAATAAGTCCACTAGAGGGAGCTGTGGTCACGTGGCTTGACTCAGTGATGGGCCCAGAGGTCAGGGTTCTGGGCTCAGGCCCGGTGGTACCTTGAAATGCTGCAGTGAGGTTCTCATTGGTTCCTCCAGGGTTCCTGAACTTCACGTGTTTGTCGGTCCACCAGGCGATTCCAGTGGCGGTCAGAGGGATCTGGGTCTTGGTTCCATTCGGCTCAGTGTAGAACAGCTCCAGAGTATCTGTAGGAACAACATGCCCACAGTTCGTTTACTGATGCTTGTTGTTTATTGACGCTTGTTGTTTATTGATGCTTGTTGTTTACTGATGCTTGTTGTTTATTGATGCTTGTTGTTTACTGATGCTTGTTGTTTATTGATGCTTGTTTTTTACTGATGCTTGTTGTTTACTGATGCTTGTTGTTTAATGATGCTTGTTGTTTACTGATGCTTGTTGTTTTGTTTAATGATGTTGTTTTGTTGTTTACTGATGCTTATTGTTTACTGATGTTTGTTGTTTTGTTTTACTGATGTTGTTTACTGATTTTTTTCAACAGTTTGTTGTTTTGTTTGTTTACTGATGTTTATTCTTTAGTTTATTAACTGATATTTGTTGTTTTATTTGTTTACTGGCGTTTCTTGTTTTGTTTTACTGATGTTGTTTTGTTGTTTACTGATTTTTCAACTGTTTGTTGTGTTGTTTGTTTACTGGTGTTTGTTTTAAACTGACGTTTGTTTTTAGTTTGTTTACTGATGTTTGTTGTTTTGTTTGCTTTCGGTACCAGTGCAGGTGGAGGTTCTGTTGGGCTCACCGTTGAACATGCTGTTGGCGATGGCGCCACACGGCGCGATGGCCCGGTTGTTGTGGCGAGCGTACGGCTCGCACTCCTTGCTGGGTTTCTGGACACATCAGAACCGGGTCAGGAGACAACTACAGCCAGAGACAAAGTCCACCAGAAAGTCTCCAAACTGTCTCCAAACTGTCTCCAAACTGTCCCCAAACGTCCCCGTGGGATTCTGGACTTTCTGTCAGACCGGGCTCATCAGGTCAGCGGCACCAGAACCCTCAAACACAACGTGTGCCGTTCTGTTGGTGAAAATTTATATTTTGTAGTTTTAGAGTGATCATCCTCACCAGAACCACAAAGGACCGTTTGGGTCGGGACATTTCAGAACCATCATTCCTGTTCTGCTGCAGCGGTCCAATAATCTGTTGAAATCATCTCAGACGGTTTCTGATCCGTGCAGCTGTTCAGAACCGGACCATCGGGTCTGCAGCCTCACAGGTTTCTGTCAGAGCCGACCTCCTGCAGGAAGTCACGGTTCAGACACAAAATCTGTGGCACAAAGGACGGGTCAGAACCCACTGAGAGCCTGGAGACGGTCTGGAGACGGTCTGGAGACGGTCTGGATACGGTCCTGTTCATGTGGAGCCTCACAGCCCAGTCAAAACCACTTCGGTGAGTTCTGACCTGACAGAACTCTGCAGCACATGGACCAACAGTTCATTAACAACCTTCTACCAGGAAGTAACCAGGAAGTGGCTCCTGAAGCTCTGATCAGCCGCAGACCGTACCCTGAGGGACTCCTCGTTCCCGTTCAGCTGGCTGTCGTCTCTGGACTTCACGTACCGTCGGTGGTTCTGGTAGAAGTTGGACAGGCCGTAGTACATGAAGACGTTGCTCTGCTGGGTCAGAGAGAACAGAGCCAATCAGCCACCAGGTCTCAGTCCGGACCCGGCCTCAGTCCGGACCCGGCCTCAGTCCAGACCCTTTAGGGGACAAGGACCCACCTCATAGGGCTGGTCCAGGTAGAAGGGGATGGAACAGGTGCAGGGCTTGGTGCTGTTCCAGCTGAAGTTCTGGGAGCAGTTGAAGCAGGGACTGGACAGGTCCAGTCCAGTGTAGTCCATCTGGAAACCACAGGAGGACTCATGAAGTCTTTCAGGTCAGGTTCAGCAGATCAGTAAAGGGGCATTCCACATATTTTCAGAACATTTTCTCACACGTTCAATCTGAACTAAAAGATAAACGTTGAAGTGACTTTGATGTTTCTGTTTTATGAAACTTTATTCTGTGACGTTAAAGAAAAATAAAGGTTTGGGTGCTGCGTTACTTCTGGACCACACTGGAACCGCTCTAGATCAAACATGACTTTATTTAGACGAGTCATACTGGACCCAAATCACAACCTTCTTCTCAGGGTCCAGGACGACCTGGACCAGGTTTGAACAGTCAGATGTTCTTACTAAAGCTTGTTAGATGGAAGACACTTGAAATTCAGCAGAATATCCCTTTAATGAGCTGTTAAAGCTGAACCAACGTCCAGAAATAAAATCAGATCTTCTTTCAGCTGTTCCCTCCTCAGGGGTCTCCATAGACCCACAGAGTCCATCTCACTCTGTCCTCACTGCAACTACCTCCATGTCCAAACCACTGTCCCTCCTCTGGACATGTCCAAACCACTGTC